GTCTTTTCCAACCTTAATGATTCTGTGATGCGTATTTGGAGGACATGATCCTATACTCCTTAGACAAACAAAGCTCTCACTGAAGCTGGTAAGAATTCTCCCTGTTAGAACTGTAAAATTGTGTCATTAAGTGGGCACAACCATGCATTTAGGTAAACAAGTATCCCAGAGATTTTCCCTTTTAAACATTTTAATAGCTCTATTGGGTTTGAGACTTTCACAGTTCCGGTTTCAAAATGCTATCATGATAGTATATAAAGCTGTTAAATACTTTTGCACAATGGTCAGAAGGACTTCTGGGGATTCTGGGTCTGACTTGACTTTTTTTTGCTTTGAATGTCCCCCTTAATCTCCAAGCATTCTGAACTTACTGGGGAGCAAGACATGGGAGACTTTGCTTGGGGAATGTGTTAGCATAAATGGACTGCACAGAGCAAGAGAGAAAGCTGGCACCTCACATGCTGCAGTACTGCAATAGCTCTGACACTCTGGAATTCCGAATCGCAGTAATACGCAGTTATTAGTACATCGCTTTTGTGTCGACATTCGCTACAGTAGGCTTACAGCTGGCATGCTCTCTTTTTACTGGGACAGTGACAGCATGATTCAGTTGCTGTAATAGGTGTCCAATGCCATTTTAGAGTCCTCAAGGTGTATCATCTGGCCTCCAGCTACTGCTTCTGGAGGTGTCCCATACATCCTAACATTCCATATGTCCCTAACATGCCCTGTATGTTAGACCCACGTGGTTGTTACAGTAGTCCTAAGGCATCTAAATTGGCGTAAGATGCTTAAGTTTTGCCAACTGCATCAAGCCCCGAGAATGAGCTGGGGAAGCCAAGCATTTTGTCTGTGCATAGCAAACCCAGGTGCAATGTGTCAGGAGCCTCCATGAGGATTCTTATTTCTGCATACTTTGCCAAGCTCACTGGTCATGTCTTTGGGACTTGGCTGAGAGCCTCAGAAAAGAGGCAAAGAATCCTTACAACCACCTGTAAAACCCTGCTGGTTTGTAAGAAAGCTAAATTCCTTGTGCCTTGTTGCTACACTGCCGGTTATTTTCCAGTAAGAAAGCAAGCTAGTTTCTGGCTTCCCATTTGTCATATATACTTCTGATTCTCAGTTACTTCCCTCCTTTCTTCTTGTCGGAATCTCTTCTTTAGCTCCCATGTATACCAGACCCAACTACAACCCCAGAATGAGCTACTGGAAAGGTAGAACTGTCAAATCATGAATTTTTGTATGGAATTTGCACAGTATGAACTTCAATACATCATCTGCTGGAATTCTGTCATGTCATGATGACCAAATTGTACCCTGATATTCACTGTGACATCTACCAATTATTGCTGCCTCCTTTTCATGTGGCTTGTTTGGATTTTTTTTCAGTTATGCTGCCATAGGAAGCAACCTGTTTAGTTTTTTATGATATAATGTACGTTCTTTTTAGTAACTTCTTAGTAATTAGGAAGTTCATTCTTCAAAACATGAATGAATGTGCAGCACTACACTACTTGAAGGGCTCTTTTTGATCAGCTCCTCTCTTGCCTGTCAGTCAGCATGTTACCTACAGTTCTCTACTCACATTTCTTCTGATTCTGTTACCAAAGGGCTGCGGGATAAACTGGATACTCAGGTGCTCCACACTTCCCTGCAGCTGGCCAGTTTGGCCCTCCAACAAAGTACCTCTGTCTGTGAAGACAAAAACAAGAAAGTCACCCTTCTTTAGAGGACGGCGAGTAACAGGCTGCTGAGGAAGAGCTCATGGCTATAGAAAAAACACGTGAGCACTTCACGTAAAGCCCACCCAACCACAATACTTTACAAGCTTCCTATGGATGTCACTAATATGCTGCCAGATACCCAGAAGACCATAAAAACGGCATAAACACTAGATGAGAAAGCAAGAAGGGAATCTGAGAGTGGAAACCTGTGGGATTAGAAAGTATGAAATCAGAGCAGATCTCACTGGAGCCAGTATTAAAGAGAGGAAGAGAGAGAAAGAAGAATAACATGAGAAAATAAACACAGAAAGGAGTGATACTATTTTAGGCAGCAAGGGGCTGGACAAGGAAACTGGGACTATCAGACTTCAAAGGGATGAGATTAAGAGCACGGGACAGGAATGGGAAGCTAAAAAAGAAAAAAGTTTGTGATGGAAAGCAGAGGTGAGAGAGACAGAAAATAATGCAGCAGAGATAAAGACATTGGCACAACTAGATAAGTAAAACAGGACTTAAGCCTGAATCCTTATGCACAGATGCTATGGAAAGGATTATTCCTGTAGTAGAATATCCCTGGTTTGTCTGATGTAGTGACAAATAAAGCATCATGAACTAAGATGTCTGTAAGTAACTGAATGGATCTCCTCTGTAGAAAATAGTCTTAAGTATAATTTAAGATTATAGCACCAGCACAGCCTGATGTTTACTTTGTCAAGAAAAAAATACACACTGAATAGATGATTTTTTTTTCTTGTCAGTTTTCCCGCACATGGTGAAAAAGCTGAATACAAGCCTGCACATGATGATTATAATGTTCCTCTGTGTGGCCATTTTCTTTTCACTGGTCAGTTTTGGATTCTGCATACTTAACGCAATAAAAGTTCCTTACCGGGCTATTAAAGGTCCAGCAGGAGTATGCCTTTGGAACTTCCTTGCAGGTAAAATCGTTTCCCAGTATTTTTCACATTCATACAAAATGTTACAAGTAAAAGTTCCTTCTCTTGCCTTACTAAATATCTTGTCGACTGAAACACTTGTGAATAAAATGAAGTTAGCAGTGAATTCTCATCTATCAAAACAGAACTGTCAGGTGGCATCTCAGCTTCTTGTGTCTAGTCAACTTTTTACAGGAGCTATGAATGCCGGTCTTTAGGCTCCATATCACTGATGAAAGGACATTATTACAAACAACCGTTATAATGTTTAGCCATGCAACAAAGAGTAAGCATTTCAAAGGTGTTTAAGCCATGCCTAAGTCTATCCCTATTCTGTCTAATGCTCACTGTTGTATTCAATAAGCCTTCTGAAGCACAACCAAAATGTCTGTCTTGTTTTGACAACAATGGTGAATAATTCTTTCATTTTGTTGCAGGTGGATTTGTAGTACTTGCAGTCACCAGCTTTATGGCTGCTGTGAAACTTCACCACCTCACAGAAAGAATTGCCAATTTTCGGGAAAATGTCTTTCAATTCGTTATCTTAGAAGAACGGTTTGAAGACTGTTTTTGGCTTTGTGTGGCAAGTGCCACATCACATGCAGTAAATTTGCTGCTAATAGCCATTAGTGGGATTCACTTCCCTAAAATTAAGACTAAAACAGAAGAAGCAAATGTTACAGCAGAAGATATAATGTACTAATGAATCTATACGAAACTACTTTGGTCAAGTGAACTGTCATGATAGAAACAGCTTCTTGGCTCTTGAGCTTTTGATTTGGATGGATGGTTTTGGTATAAACATGTAAAGATGTCAGTCTACAATACCAGCAATTAACATGTGTAGGAAAAACAAACACTACAAATATAATTATTCTCAAAACTGACTGATATCTGCAGTAATATATGCTGTTCCCAGTTTTTAGAAAATTCGCATTTTGAGGTATTTTAGAAAACGAAGGTGAAATATGATTTCACTGAAACCAAGTGTCTCCTTTGTTTAGAAAGAAAATATGTGCATCGCAAATCTTTGATAGTATAGGGTTATTTCAAAACAGAAAGAATGGACATTGGCCAATTACCTTCACGGAATTATCTGGAAAAATGACGAGAGGGCCATATAAGGTATGTTTGATGATGTTAATACTGCATCGAAAAAGAAAACATCATCTGTGAGGCTAAAGTTAAGGGGAAGCACAGGCTGAGTATGTGTGAAATGTTGTTAAACAGAAATTATCAAACCCCGCAAAGTAAACAAGTGAGAAAAGTAAAGTTTATGGGATACTAGTAGACTATGAAAAAAATTATTACCTGCAAGATGAAGGTTTCGTTGCAGCTTCTGAAAGTAAAGTGAACAGAATATAAGTAACAGTGCTTTTAGATAACCTGGGAAATAATACTCTGACAGATTAATGGTCTTCAGAACCCTGTCAATTCTTATGTCTATTTGAAATCAAGTAAAACTGATGAATGATGAAACAATATTAAAATGAATAAAAATTGTTAAATGGATGGAAAAGTTACTTTGCTAGGAAGTACCACAATTTTGACAGGCATTCAACCAGTTCTTGGGTCACGATTAATGAATATTTCAAAGAAAAGAATATGCCATTAAGCATGTCATTTTTTAGAGTTTGACTACTATAGTGAACACATCCTAACCTTTTAGCAATAGAACCTGAAAAATGTCTTTGAATGAATGAAATAAGTTATCATATAAATAAGAAATTATTTTGCAGTCAGTTACTCTTCGTCAGACCACGAGGTTGTGTAACTCTATTCTTGTGGAAAGCTCTTTGAAAAAAATAGTAACTTTTTTAGGAAAGGAATTCAAAGTGTTTCAAGAACATGCCAGGATATACAAAAATTCTTTATTATTTATTTGAAAAGACCTCTTCAGAGAAGTAGTATTGTAAGGGTCAAGTATTTTCAGAAGTGTCTAAGACCATATTTTATGTACCCACATTACTACTTTTATCACTGAAATGTGTGGAACACTCAGTAAAGAAAGTTGCTAGAACAACATGTTTGCTGATTAGACCACTTATTTAGACATTTAAATAAGGAATTATAACTCAGCTTAAGCCTGTGAGTTTAATATCTTTGGCCCAAATACTTATTTTCCATGCTCTTTTTACTTTGTTTTCATTTAAAGACCAATGAAAACAGATGTTTTATGGAGTAACTTCTACTCCCATTTGTATTCTTATAAAATCAGTTTTGCTGTTGTAAAACCCTATTTAAAGTACTCTTAATTTACACGGCAGACTCAAATCACTATGTTTACTAAATGCTTCAGCAGTGTATGTGCAAGCTCTGTGTGAGGTAAGAAATGAAAATTATTTATGTCCTTTTTAGAATATATACAGCAAGACCAGCAGACATTTGGCAGTGGCCAGTTGCAGAGGAAATATCAGTAGCCAAAGTCAACCTACAGATGCAATGAGTGGTGTCTATTACTGTAGTCTGCACCACCTCTGGTTTTGGCCCCACAAGTTTAGCAGGATTATGAATGAAGCAGAAATTTGTGAGGGTGCTTCTGCAATAGGTCCCAATAATTGGTCTTCTTCAAGACAGTGTTAGACACTTTTTTGCTAAGAGCACCTAAACTTTTTTTGTTAAAGTCCCATAAAAATTTAAGATGCAGCTGGAAAGTTTTGATGAGTCTAGAGCACTGTAACCATTTTAGCATAAAGGATACTCAATAAGGCAGAAAAAGTGATTCCTCATTTATACCACCCACTTACTTCACTGTTCTTCTAATTTTACTAGTGCATTCACTCAGTCTCTACCCCGGGCCGCGTCTCCAGGAAGATGACGCGATACCTGGTATGTGGATAGGCAGCAAACAACCAATGGATGTGCCTTCAGTGGTAGCAGCACAGTACTGTCCAGAAAACTGTCCACAGAGGCCTCTGTGGTACCACCACCTTCACCTCCCAGAAAATTCTGAGTGGTTCTGAAATAGAAGACCTTAAACTGCAGTATAATTACACATATAGAAAATGAAATATTTGTAATTGTTCTATGACCATATAATTTAGAAGTAGTTGTTGTACAGAAAGAATTATATTGTAACACGTAACTAAGCCTTTACTAAATAGAATTCTCTTTAGGAAGTGAAAAGGAAGCCGATTTTACAATCTTCCATATAGAGCAATTGCTTCAGAAATGCTTTTCAGTAGTACTAGGATGCATGTATTACACTGTATTTTTCATATTGCTAATGAACTGCTTAATGCCCCCCACCCCAAACTAGTTATTGAGTAAGAGCTGTGGGACTACTTAGTTGAGGACAGAATTAAAGATTTGTTGGACTGGATTCCTACGTAGGTCACAGGAGCTCTGGAAGAACCATTAGAGTATACTGTATAAATGAAGAGGAATAGCTAAGCTGATCAGTTTTTTAATTTCTTGTTTTGAATCTACTCAACAATGAAGCACACTCCGCAGTAACGGTCCAAAAGGTTTCTCACAGCAGATGTATGAAGTCTTATGGTGGGATATTGTAGCTGCATGAGTTGAATGACCAAATAACATTATCACCCAACGACTGCTTTGTGACTTGTGAGAAAACAGTATTTTCTGCTCACTTTAGAGTGATCAGAAGTATTACCATGCATGAACTAAACGAAACAAAACAGACACAAGGCTAAACTAACCTTTCAGCTGCACAGGTTGTCTCAGTTTAAGCACTGCCAAGACACACTGATGGGACAATGCATAGAATATTTGCCCTGGGAAATTCTGTCTGGGAAAGAAAGGTTAAATGCAATCACTCATACTTAAGATGTACAATTACAAAGCACACCTAAAGGTTAACAGTAGGTAAGTCTATCACTCAGACTTTTTCAGCTTTCTCTTCTACATTATCAAATAATTTCAAAAAATGGGAACTTGATATGTGTGATCTACTTTATTTACACATTTTCATTTTAGTTAGACTTCATAGAGCATATCTGATCATACGAATGCTCAACATGTGGAAATAAAGATTTCTTCGGGGGTACTTTTTACTTTGGAAGATCTGAAATCCTAAATGAGAACACATATGAGGAATATCTGCCCAGAACTTTGAAGAGATTATGGGTCAAATCCTGTTTTTCCATAAAATCAAAGACAACTTCATATACCCTGAAAATACCCACTTAATTTGTACATGCAGAATAAAAAGAAGCTCCATGCAGGATGCAGAGAAGCTACGGAGCCATTCTTCAAAGAACTAAGAAACCATTCATTGTATCTAAGAGCCTCTCCAAAAAATAAATGAAGCTAAAAACTGGTTTCCACTTTGATTCTTTAAAATAGTTATGATTTAATGTTAAAAAATGTCATTTTATAAGATAAATCAAAATGGAGGCAATTTCCCTCAGTCCTTATCTCTGAGTGCCGCTTTCCTTAGTAAGATGTGGTGGGTTGAGCCAGGCTGGACACCAGGTGCCCACCAAAGCCGCTCTGTCACTCCCCTCCTCAGCTGGACAGGGGAGAGAAAGCTCGTGGGTCGAGATAAGGATGGGGAGAGATCATTCAGCAATTACGATCACAGGTGAAACAGACTCAACTTGGGGAAATTAATTTAATTTATTGCCAATCAAAATTAGAATAGTGTAATGAGAACTAAAACTAAATTCTAAAACACCTTCCTCACACCCCTCCCTTCTTCCCGGGCTCAGCTTCACTCGCAATTTTCTCTCCCTCCACCCCCCCTCCCCGAGCAGCGCAGGGGGACGGGGAATGGGGGTTGTGGTCAGTTCATCACATGTTGTCTCTGCTGCTCCTTCCTTCTCAGGGGAGGACTCCTCACACTCTGCCCTTGCTTCAGCCTGGGGTCCCTCCCATGGGAGACAGTTCTACGCCAACTTCTCCAACACGAGTCCTTCCCACAGGCTGCAGTTCTTCATGAACTGCTCCAGCCTGGGTTCCTCCACGGATGCCGTCCTTCAGGAACAGGCTGGGTCCGACCGGGGTCCCCGCGGGGTCACAAGTCCTGCCAGGAAACCTGCTCCAGCCTGGGCTGCTCTCTCCACGGCGCCACAGGTCCTGCCAGGAGCCTGCTCCAGTGTGGGCTTCCCACGGGGTCACGGCCTCCTTCGGGCATCCCGCTGCTCCGGCGTGGGGCCCTCCCCGGGTATGGGTGGAGATCTGCTCCGCCGTGGAGCTCCATGGCCACAGGGGCACCGCCGGCC